CACAAAGTCCTAAGCAAAATGGACCCAAAAGGACCCACAACTATACATCATTTTTAAAATGGTGTACATTAAAGACAAAGAAAGACTATTAAAGGCTGCAAGAAAGAGACAGAAAGTTACCTACATGGGACATCCCCAGCTGATTTCTCAATTCGCCAGCTGATTTATCAAAGGAAACACTTCAGGCCAGATGGAGTGGCATGAAGCATACAAAGTAATGAAAAGCAATGGGCTGAATAGGCCAATGACAACTGATGAAATTGAAGCAGCAATAAAAAAAAAACACAACAAAATACCAAAATGGCATATTTCACAGATCTAAAAAAAATACTCCAAAAATTATATGAAACCAAAAAAGACCCTGAATAGACTCAACAATCTTGAGAATGAAGAACAAAGTTGGAGGGATTACAATACCAGATATCTAATTATACTACAAAGCCACGGTAATCAAAACAGCCTACTACTGGCACAAGAACAGGCATATAGATCAGTGGAACAGAACAGAGAAGCCAGATATTGACCCAAGCCATTATGCGCAATTAATATTTGACAAAGAAGGCAAGAGCATACAATAGAGTGAAGACAGTCTCTTCAATAAATGGTGTTGGGATAACTGGACAGGTACATGCAAAACAATGAAACTAGACCACTAACTTATATCATACCCACAAACAAACTCAAAGTGGTCTGTTGTCAAAATAAATGTACTCAAATATAAACTGTGTCCAAGATGATCCATATTGGAATTAGCAGACAAGGACCCTAAAGCAGCCATTGTCAAAGAACATATGGTCACAATGATAGAACAGAAGGGGAATCTTGGCATAGAAATGGAAACTAAGAAAAAAAATCAAATGAAAAAATAGAACTAAAAAGCATAATAAAATGAAAAAATGTTGCCCAGCTGGCATGGCTCAGTGGTTGAGTGTCGACCTATAAACCAAGAGGTCACGGTTCAATTCCCGGTCAGGGCACATGCCCAAGGTTTTGGGCTTGGTCCCCAGTGTGGGGCATGCAGGAAGCAGCCTATCAATGATTCTCTCTCACCATTAATGTTTCTCTATATCTCTCTCACTCTCCCTTCCTCTCTGAAATAAGTAAAAACTTTAAAAAATAAAAGTAAAATAAAAATAAAATGAAAAAAGTTCATTGAATGGGCTTAAATAACAGACTTGAGAGAGTAGAGTTATAAAGGACAATGAATTTGAAAATAGAGCAAAAGAAAATATCCCATTTGAGAGGGAGCATAAGACACATCTCCAGCTCCCTCTTAACACTCACTGCAATGTGTCTGGGAAGTCAAATACATGTTGAAATGTAACAATGAGTCATACAAAAAAAGACTCAGGAATGAGCTAAAAACAATCACTCATTTACAAAATGTCCTAAATACTCTTCCTAAAAATGTTATTTTAGATGGTTCTCTACCATGTTGTCCTTGAATGAAAGTCTAGGAAGCAATTTAAAATTAAATTATATGTTATAAACCATTATGTAATGAAGTAGAGAGCACTGTGTACAAGTGGCAGTGCAGTACAATGAGTTGTAATAGGAAGACGGAGCCTATGAAAGAAATTAGATCAACTTGATTATTCTTTTCTGGCTCAACTGTCATTTCTTTGGTTGTCTAGCACCTGAAACTGCTTCCTGTTAGGGAGAATTCTCTCCCCTTATTATTCTCCCCACAGAAGTGAAATATGTCCAATGTAGGGGAGCTTTCCCAGTCTCCCTTGTAGCTGAGGAGAGGGTGTGGAGCTTAGGTTTGACCAATGAAATGCACCTGTTCTTAGGCTTCCAGTGGGAAATGAGGGATGCAAAGAAGCAGGGCCAGGGAAGCACCACTCCAGACCCAGAGCAGTGATGGCAGTGGTGCTGTCTGGAGTCAGCTAGCTGCAGTATCCAGCTCTCATGAGCAAAAACATCACCCACCTCAGACTGGATCTATAATGAGCATTTGTTGGTGATGCTGGCTGGTTAAGAGCTGGTCCCCTAGCTGGCCCAGCCAGGCTCTACCATAATGTAAAACAACCAATAAACACGTTTTCTGCTTAACTCAATCAATATTGGCTTCATTTGCTCACAACTAAAACCCTTCCTGATGCATCTATTGACATGCAACTGACCTCATTACGCTGAGCTGCCACCTAGAAGAAGCTATACCCAATACACAGAGCTAACTACTTTGTTTTTTCACTGGTGGAAAAAATATTGCTCCCTTCGGAATTTCCTAGTTATTATCTTGGCTTCTTACTTTTAAAGGCTCTGCTCAAATTATAAGGTCTCTCTTATTTTAGGGTTAGAAATTACTCACACTTTCTAAGTGTGAGTAAAATGACTGAAAATAAATTAGGATAGAAACTCTATTAACAGATGATGTACAAGATAAGTAATAAAAACCCCAAATATCATTCTAATCTACCTAGGTTACAGGCTCGAAATGTAGAGATTACTGGAGGCAAAGTTTCCCATGATGATTTCTCATTAGCTTATTCAAAACGGCTTTAAGCGCTCCGTCGTTACCCAAATTTATTCTTGCCCAAATTTTCCTGGCACACAAATGACCAGATAACCCTCCTATTAGGAGTCTCAGCAGGAACCAATGCTTGAATGAGCAAGCAGCCTCCTTCTCTCGTCTGGAGAGGCCTAGCAGAGCAGCGATCAGGCCAAATGTGTTAGAATCACCCATGAGCTGTGCCTGGTGTCTGGTAATAAACACTTGAATTGTAGATAATAAGGCCTTTGCTTTCCCTGGCTTTTGCTCGGACAGTAATTTAAAGAACTGGACTGATGGAAAGTAATGGATTTTTTTTGTCTTACTGATTTTAGATTTCTAAAGCTGCAATTTACTTTATATACAAGGGTACTGAAAATGTCTGGTTAAAATACTTTCAGGCCCTGGCCAGGTAGCTCAGTTACGAGCATCATCCAATACGTTAAGGTTGTGGGTTTGCTTCTGGTGAGGGCACATACAAGAATCAACCAATGAATGCATAAATAAGTGGAACAACATCTCTCTCTCTCTCAATTCAGTATATAAAAATTAAAAAAAAAACTTTCAAAACTAAAGATGACAGGTAGTTTCGTTGCTAAAAAGATGACTTGTTTTGTGGCCTTATCACTTGATGTGATGTTTTCTTTGTAAGATTCAGGATATGAGTAGAAACTGTAACTCTTTTTACATGCTACAGTCTACCAGAACAGACTATCCTTTAGGGACAGAAGATAGCGCTGCCTGTCAGAGACTACACAGCCAATGAATTCGGCCATAAAGAACCACTGTCTCCCTGTTAAATGTGAGCGAAAGTTCACTGGCTCATTTCATATTAGCCTGTCAGGACTCACAGGACAGAAACGATTTCCTTTCACTACCAGCCAGGTTGGAAATGACCCAGCCATTCAGAAACAAACAGGATGTAAGCTGATTTACAAAAATAAGCTAGATAATAAAATCTTTCATTGATCTCAAAATGAGTTTCTTCTTTTTCTACAAGAGAAATGATAAAATGCAAAACTGAAGTAAAATTTAGGAAAGCATGCATTTTTGTAGATTAAGTGAAAACTACAATGAAAACAAAGTATTTTCTTGACTGCTGATAACACAGCAGAAAAACCAGAAAAACTTTATGATGAAATAGCTCATTTGACATGTTCAGAACATAAATGAAATGTGTATCATCCAAGAAATACAAATGAGCTTCAGTGACATCAGCTAAAATACATTAACTCTTGCTTATGTGGTTTGTGGGGATTTTTGACAATTTCCAGAGGCCTCAGTGGTTGTCTGCTGGGCTTTGTAGAGGGTTTGCAACATCCTAAGTAAAACTGTTTGATTCCACCTCACATCCATGGAAAGCCTTCAATTCTTTCTTCTTTACTAATTTACCCAGTTCTTTATTTTCTTACTATTTGACATCCTGATGAAAATGTTTGCTTTTACTCAACCCCTACCCCAGAACACTGGCATGCATATGTTAATGCAAAGATATAACTACAGAGAAAAGACATACACATCAATGACAGTGTCATAAATATTTACAATATGGTGCATTCGGGTTGATTATCAAGCAGGTGTTACATGTAAGCTATAACAAGTTCTCTGAAAAGGACAAATAGAAACATTTTATGTTTTAATGATGGTTGAAAGAACATATTGCTCTTAATTCTAATTACACTAGACATCATTAGCTTCTACAATTTCCTCACTCTCTTTTCTAAAGGGAATTCATAGCTTGTCTGTATACTGGAAGGACAAACTTTAAACTTCTATTTCCGCATGGCTAATGAGAGTAAGCTTTTATCACTCAGGACTCTGAAGCATCTACTCAAACACAATAAATAAGTGTGTGCTGGTAGGGGAGGCGCGGGGTGGGGAGGAAGTTGGTTTAATTGAAAGGCATGTGAGTGAGCAGGAGCCTGGAGGTCTGCAGCATACACAGCTATCAGACCCCAGAGGCGAGCCTGAGACTAACCAGGACTTCACGATGACATGTAGTGAGATTGCACGCAAACTTTCATTCTACTTCTCCTCATGCTAGTTTCACTTTCCAAAGAAATAATTTAAGCAATTTTTAATTTTAAAGAAATATTTGAGACAGAAGCTGGATAAAGTAAGTTGGGGATACCACATATGAGCAGAGTCCTTCCTGGTTGCATTACTGGATCACCTAGCAGTTAAGCATGTCTTATAGCAGTAGAAAAGAGAAAGTCAAAGAAGGAAAATTATTAATTTAAAGAAAGTATTAAAGTCACCTTAATGGGAAACATAATGGCTTTATCAGATATCCTTTCTGGTTTAGTGTTTTGTGCTTGTTTGTTTGTTTAATTTTGAGTGACATTTCAAAAACACCACCAGAATTGGTCAGAATTTTGCATTTCTAAGTACTTATTCCAACTCTTCCTGAAAGTATAATATTTAAGAACAAAGGATAACCTCAGAGATCACTTCTGCCTTCTACACCGTATTTTGGGGGAAAACGACCGGTTGAAAGTCTCAATACCTTCTTTTGTCTGCTCTCAGCAGCAGCCAGCTGTGCGGACATCCTCTCCTGCATTTTCCTGCAGTGGCCCATGACTGCTTCCAGGATGGAGAGGGGGTTGGTACAGACTGGCTTCTTCTCTTTATCGCCAGCACCTGCTTCGTAGTCTCTCTGCAGTGCCAGGAACGGGTCATTTAAATTAAACCTTCCATAGCGTTCCTGGACAAACACCTCCTTCCTGCGAGCCTAAAACAAAATCAGAGGAATGCACTGAAGGAATAAAAAGGTAAGATATTTATAAGAAGGGTTTGTGATTACTTTTCCAAAAGGTATTCACAACTGTTCTGAGTAATGGCTAAAGTGTGATGTCAGGCGGTGAGCAAGACGGGAGGGGAATGTGTCCCCAATCCCTGATAGTCTGGCATGCCACTGCCGTCTACAGTACTTTTAAATTGGCTTTTAAATTACAAATAATACGAATATATATTTTCCCATGATGTTCACTCCTTCAAGGAACTGAATTTTAGGTGCAGCCTTCCCTAATTTAAAGTAAAATTAGAAATAGCAACAGTTAAAATAAGTTTTACCAAAAGTTCAAAAATAAAATTATCTCTACTACATTCATATAAGTTATATTTCACATAATACTTACCAAGTCACAAAATATAAATCTCCTACAAGTTTTGTATAGCCAGAAAGAATTGATAAGGATATTTGTCAAAGAAGAAATTACATCATGAATTTTTTTAGTCAAAAATCCACAACATTCACAACATGCAAAAGATAAAACTACAGAGAAAAGACATACACTACTAATAATGGTGAAATAACTTTTATTAGACTATCTCTTTTGTAAAGTTTGAACAATTACAAAAAACTTCCAGAGCCAGGCTGGTGTGGCTCAGTGGTTGAGCATTGACCTATGAAACAAGAGGTCACCAGGACAATTCCTGCTCAGGGCATATGTCCAGGTTGCAGGTTCGACCCCCCAGCAGGGAGAGTGCAGGAGGCAACTGATCAATGTTTCTCTCTCATCAGTGTTTCCATCTCTCTATCCCTCTCCCTTCCTTTCTCTCCAAAAAAAACATCAATGAAAACATATTTTTAAAAATAAAAAGACTCCAGAAAATTTAAGAAGATGTAAATATCTTGCTCTGGTCAGGTACCTCAGTTGATTAGAGCATCATTCCGGTACACCAAGGTACAGGTTTGATCTCTGGTCAGGGCATGTATAAGAAGTAACCAATGAATTCATAAATAACTGGAAAAAAAATCATTGTTTCTCTCTGTTTCTGTCTGTCTGTCTCTTTTTCCTTCTCTGTCTCTCTCCCTTCCTCTGTTTCTCTCAAATCAATTCTAAAAAGTACATAACTTTTTAAAAAGATGTAAATATCTCATCATTGAAGGGCATTAAAATATAGTTCATAGAATCCCAGGAAAGAATGCAACCTCATTTTACTCTGTCAGTCTATCAGTGTCAAAGTTAATTGCACATCCACATGGCACTAAATGCAATTTTAGATAATTACCCTACAACAGTCTTCACATACAATTGGAAATAGCAGTAGAAATATATTGAAAACTAGCCACATTTTCCCAACTCAGGTCATTTAGAAGAGCCCATAGAAAAAAATTATTCTATGTCACTGCTAGTGGAAAATGAAATTACTTTATTATAAATCAAGCTTAACTGTCAAAATGTTAAGCGTGTTTTCTAAGGATATATTACATACATTTCCTCACTTTGGAAGCAACCACTTTGAACTAAACTTTTCATTTTCAGACCACTGTCAGAGAACCAACAACTAGACAAACACAAGAGCAAATGGCATTGTTTTTTCCTGTTACCAACTTACATCAGTTAGGAGATGTTATTCACAAGAAGTTCAATTTCACCATTAAATCTAAGCTAGCTTTCAGAGCATCATTTGAAACTTAAAAGTTAACATGGTTTATGAATCAAAAAACATTTGATATTTCTAGATTCTTTTGTAATCAATACACCGAATAAGTATCACTTCAGAGATGCAATTTCTAAAGCAGTTTCATTTTTGTCTTTCACTTGTTTCTTAATTTGTATTAATGTAAGTAACTCATCCCTCAGCCCTAGATGAAAACCTGAGAAAGCCCCATGGTTTTTCCAATTACTTTTATCTAATACAAGTCTCATAGTCACTTTAAGACACAAACAGTCTCCATTTGGCTATCAGAATATCCAGTTTAGTGCTAAGCCAGCTTCCCTTCCCCAGCCGACTAGGCTCTGCAGCAGGTTTAACATGCACCACTTGGGAAGGGAGAGTTTATGAAAACCACTCTTTTTATCCAAATCTGCTCGCCCTTTCTAAGTGTTTTAGCCCTCTCTGGGTTGGAAAGGACTGGAGGTAGATGGTGAAGATGGAGGTGAGAGGAGCAGGAACATTCCACCTGACTGGTTCGCTAGCCTTACCAAGGAGGGTGGTGAATATTTAAAGACTACTCTTTCCCTATGGAGCACTGGGTAACTTTAGAGGACCACACCTTCTCCCACTGCTGAGGTCCCTTCATCCATAGTTTCCTAATGTAGGTCATACATTTAGGGCAGGATACATAACCTGTGGGGTTCGGTAAAAAATCAAAACACGAAGTTGTTAAAGAAATTAAGAATTTCAAGATGGTAACAGTACACCATTTAACCAAACATGCCCCTTCCAAGTGCATGCCCTTGGCCATGACATAGGTTGCACACCTATGAAGCTAGCCTTGCACACATTCCTTATGTAGAACATCTAGAAAGCAGTTTTAGTGGGCTGAGGTCCCATGTTCTCCAGACTTCTCTATTCATTTCGACTCTTTGATGCCCATGGCCCAACGTAGTCTATAGGAAACACTTATGAATCTTCATCTCAACAAAATCTGGCAGTTCAAGATGGACATTGAAATCACCATTCTGTCATTTCCACAGGATTCCCGCTTTTCATCTCCACCTTCATTCAGACTACCAAGGCCTTCAGGAAAAATTTAAGTCATTAACTTGTGTCCTTGAAGCCCTTTTATCTCAACTTGAAATGAAGGGTCAAGCAACTGGATGGGGCAGGACTCAGCACAATTCTCTCCAAAGAAAAGCTCTTTCATAAGAACTTTTCTCTTTAATCTCCAACATCTAGATTCTTTTATTCCCTCAACTATAGGCCCAGTGCATGAAACTCATGCACTGGTAGGGTCCCTAGCAGCTGGCAGCTGCTGGCCAGGTACTCTCTCCCTTCCCCCAGCCAGTCCCGCCCCCTGGTCAAACTGGAAGAACTCCCGTTCGAGGAAACAATTTGCATACTACACTTTTATTACATAGGATGTGGGAAAGGACTTTAAAAATCAAAATTGGATTTCAAAATTTCTCCTGGAAATTTTGTATCTTTGTCCTCCCTTTAGTATCCGATATTTATCATTATGGGTCTCCTGCTGAAACTTATATTTTAACAGCCAATTATAATTACTTGATGTCTACTCATACATCCAACCTATTTTATGATGTACAATATTTTTAACACATTCAACCCATTTCTTGATCACATAGGCTCTTCTTAAATCAGAGCAAACTTTTGATAAATAGGTTAAATCATGGCCCTATTTCCAGTTTAAATAAATTTTATGGTCAGAAAATATTTAATACTCTTTTTTTAACCAGTGTGAAACAGTTGTGTGTATGTTTTGCTGGGTTTGGTTTTGTTTTAACTTTAACTGATAGTCCCCAATGCGACATTGTCAAATGCGGGCATTTTTTTTTTTCTGCTGGAAATGTTGAATTGTGTTCAGGATCATCAACACAAAACTGCCAATGATTTTCTTTGCAAATATAGATTGACATTTAACTTTTACTACAAAGTGCAAGATACACACATTTGGCTCTTTTGAGAGTAGAAGTAGTGGCTCTGTATTTGCTGCCATTCAGTTCAAATTATTTTCTGAGCTCCTTGTGATTTTGTGTTTGACATATGAATTACAGAGAAACGTTTTTCAAAAATTTCCAAATATTTAGAGCTTTCCTAAATAGCTTATTGTATTGATTTCTCATTTAAGTCTGTTGAGATCACTGAATACATTATACAAATACAAATGTCAATTATTTAAGATGATTGATAATGTTATTCATATTTTGCTTTTACTATCAACTACTAGTTGTTTATGAACATCTGATGGATATATTAAATTTTATGCTTATGAAATTGTCTGTTTCTCCCTTCAATTCTGTCAATTTTTGTTTCATACATTTTGAGGTTTTGTTACTATTCACATAAGCAATTATATCTTTGTGATGAATTGTCCTTTTTATTTCTGTAATATGGGGCCTGTTTTTTTATCTGTGTCCTTTATCTTTCTATTCATAATTCACTAGTACAAATACTTTGTGTTATTAAATGCTACCAACTGGTAGGACAAGCCTCCTTCACAATATCAGTTTTCAAAACTTTCTTTGCTAAGTTACCAGCTCATTCTTTTAGATAAAATTTCAATTTATTTTATCAACTTCTAAGAATAAGCAATTATAATTTTGATTGAAATTATGTATAAATTAGACACACATTGGGAGAAAGAAGACATTTTCATAAAATTGAGTCCTACTATTAGGAAATAATCATTTTTATTTATTAGAATTTGCTTTTATATATCTTATAAAAGTTTGATATTTTCAAACCTGTTAGCATAAATTTAAGAATAAAGGGATCCTTTTTATATATCCTTGGCAACATCCCCACTTTTCCCGTTATCTATGTCCAGTACATATTTGATTAAAATTGGTAGAGCAGTGGTTCCCAATCCTGCCTGCTCATCAGGATCGCCTGTGTAATCGCACACACTCAGCTCTGTCCAACACTCAATCGCTAAATCTACCAAGCGTCTCCTAAGCCCTTAGATGCCCAAGCCAAGGATAAGAACTAATAACCAATTTCTTGCTCCTCTTTGCATTTTTATACCATTATTTATTTTTATGCTGACTTCTAACTAGGTAAGTCTTTGGATCATTTATTTTTCAAGCAGCTTTTGGATGCGAATATTTTATACCTTTGTCATTCTGAGGATGATTTTTCGTACCTTCTTGCATGAACGCCACCTTGTCTGGGTAAAAACATTCTGAGGTGATATCCTTCCATAGAAATATGTATTGTTCAAGCACCTGTGTCCGGCATTCTACATAGTGCACAGGAGCAAGGAAGTCTGAGGCCAGGCAGACTTTTCTCGGTTTCAGGTAAGCCTTCTGCTTTTCCACCTGA